CACCTCGCGGACGACGCGCAAGAAGGGCCTGAAAGGGATACAAAGGTCGGTGGATCGTTGCAGCTTCCTGATCTCTGTCAAAGCTGCCATCCCGGGGTGTTTGCGGCGTCTGTGGACACGTGCAGGCGAATCTGCATTGTTACCGGTCTGTGGCACAGGCTGGGGGTTCTTCTTTTGCTTGTCACCAGCCGTCTTCCCCCTCCGCGGCCTCGACACAACCGCCTTCACCTTCCTCGGGCTGTGGGACATCGTTGTCTTGCTGGGCCCGGCCACGTCACCCTGCGCTGCAGAGCACCCTGCAACTCGCTCACCGCCACATGGGTCCTCCACCTCAGCAGACAAACCATCCTTATGTCCCGGGCGCGTCTCCTCCGTCTGTCCCGGCCTCCGATGTCCACCTCGGGTGTCCTCGGCCACCATATACTGAATGTCTCGCAGGAGGCTATCCGAGTACGTCAGCAGAAACGACACACCAAGCGGGTCCCTGAACCTCATCATCATCTCTCCACCTTGCTCGTATGTCATGCGACATACGGCCGGGACCCAACCAACAAGGGCGGAGCAACCATGCCTGCGGCGGATGTGAGTCATGTACCTGTTCTCGCCATCGCCCTGCCCTTGCCCACCAGGACTCCCCTCAACCATGGACCACATCCCCTCGTCTGGCATGGAGTCGTAACCCATGCACACCATCTGATGGTCCTCCTCCCTTATCTTCTCCCAGCACCGCTTTGCATGCTCCACAACGAGCACGTGGTCCTTCACATCTGCATTGAAAATGGAGACACGTGCAACTACCACCAGGAACTGCCACTGCTCCACCATGCCTGCATGCATCCACCCCAAGGGCAGCCAATGGCCTGTCTGCAGTTTCGCTGCCATGGTCACCTTGCCATCAACTGTTGCCGGCTGCAGACATCCTGGGACCCAATTCACACGATATCCATACTTCTGAGGGGCCACATGCTGCTGCAACTGCCCCTCGGGGATGACATGGGCCGCAATGTCTATGGCAGCCAGAACGTCAGGGTTCAGGTTGAATGGGTCCCATACCAGCGTGGTTATTCCATCAGCAGTAGCGTCCTCCCCTCTGGCATGCGTGTATGTGTATCCATGGTCACCCGCGAACACTTTCCCCTCTGCCACCTCGAGCTCCACAGGGTTCCGAAGAGGCGGCGAAAAACAACGAGCAGCAGGGGTGGGACAAGCCATTGCCATTTTCTCCTCTTCAGTCACCTCCCTGTTCAGGTGCCTAGATGAGAAGCTGCCGTTTATATAACACGTGGTCCATACATTCCCCATGGCATCACGCATCGGCACCTTCACACAACCACAAAGAGGCGGGGCGTCATGTGGCACCCAACCCCACCGTGGATCCCCCGTGGCATCAGTCAGTGGGCAAACCGAACTCGCTGCAGTGTCCAACCCGCCAATCACCCATGACTCTCCGCAGTCGACACTGTCATACTCAAAATCATTGAGCCTCAACTCGCCCTTCGCGTCTTGAACATGCCACAGTTTCAACACATGCCGCGATTTGTCGTCAGCGCTCACCTCATCGTTCAACCTCAGCACTCTGTCGAAGATGATTGACAGAGTCACGCCCCTCCACGACGTCGCTTTGGGAGCGGGATATGGAACCCATTCCCCATTGACTTTGAACGCGAAGCACGCCGCTCCTCCAACGATACCCGGTTGAAGACGACCAGGCACCCAATTGATGTCATAGGGGAAGAGAGTTTCTGCTGACGTCCTGACCACATTCTCGTCTGCAACAACACACCGTGCATCATTCTCACTGGCCTCACCATCCGTCATCATGTCTGCAGTCTGCTCACAAATTGCTGCAAGGACCACTGCACAGTCTGTGGTGTTTGCTCCGGCCGATATGCCTTCGTTGCTGATAACTGCGATACCCTTGACAATGTCCTGGGTCTCCATCGCGCATGTCTCCACGCCGTTGACATTCGATTGAATCGCAGGCTCCATTTATTGCATGACACATCACATACATTTATGAGAAGCCCTAGCAGCGACGTGGCCCCCTCACTAGAGAGAGAGAGAGAGAGAGAATTAGACTGGGAGAGAGAGAGAGAGAGAGAGAGGTTGACTACTGCGGGCCAGAACGAGAACAACCAGCAGCGGTGTGCACTCACATGACCCGCAGTAGTCAACCTCTCTCTCTCTCAAGCAGACATACACTGCGTTAGAGGGTGGTTGGCTACTGCGGGCCGTTGGGACAACAACCAGCATCGGTACACACTGACATGGCACGCAGTAGTCAACTTCACCCAGCTGGAAAAAAAAATAAAAAATGTGGCACCAGCGCGAGGTTGACTATTGCGGGCCAAAACGAGAACAACCAGCAGCGGTGTACACTTACATGGCCCGCAGTAGTCAACCTCGCCCATACAGGCAGACATACACTGCGTTAGAGGGCGGTTGGCTACTGCGGGCCATCGGGACAACAACCAGCATCAGTACACACTGACATGGCACGCAATAGTCAACCTCACCCAGCTGGAAAAACAGAAAAAAATGTGGCACCAGCGACAGGTTGACTACTGCGGGCC